TCAAACTCAACAACGACTATATTTGATTTGAATTAAGATATTGGGTTATTTGAATCTGTTGTGAATTGATGTCGCCAAGAAAAAACAAAAATGTGAGAAAAAGATTGAGTTTCTTGAACAAATACAAGAACCCTATTAGGTTTTACAAAAGAGAGAGAAGAATGAAGAAGAAGAATTAGAATTGGTTAAAACTGCTTTACTATTCACTTACTTAATAAGGGTTCAAAGATTACAAGTAAATAACAACAATTAATCTCTCTCAATAACCTGAGAGAACTAGTCTATATATATACTACTAAGCTAACTTAGGTTACAAGCTAACTTAACAATTGGGCTTACAAGTAAGGTCATATTCGACATGCTTTAAAACAAAACATATTTCGACATCATGCTTGAACAAACTTCAACTACAGCATGCACAACTCCTATCGAACTATGAAGTTGTTAAGTATAACAAGTATGAGTAGTATGTGTAATAGTCTCATATTGACTAGAAATGTGGAGACTTGAGCATTTATAAGTGGGAGAACCAATACACATACCACCTTAAGATTTTGGGTGAATGTGTGGTGTGTCTCTCACAAAGGTATTACTCTAGAAAAAAATTCTCATAATTTTTAATGCTTCCTAGTGAAAATCTCTCCCAACAGTGGTATCATGAGTCTTTGATTCGAGGAAGGTACCGACTCACTTGTATCGAAAGTATCCTCACAGGTCGTGGGTAGAGTGTATGTGGAAGTAGAAGAAAAGCTTCCACTTAAGGGGGGCATTGTGGAAGCATTCTAGATAGACTCACACTTGAGGGGGAGTGTTAAGTATAACAAGTATGAGTAGTATGTGTAATAGTCTCACATTTGCTATAAATATGGAGACTTGAGCATTTATAAGTGGGAGAGCTCATACATCTATCATCTTAAACTTTTGGGTGAATTTGTGGTGTGTCTCTCACAAAGTTATTGCTCTAGAAAATAAATCCCCACAATGTTCAATGTTTCCTAGTGAAAATCTCTCCCAACATAAGCTACCATTGTCGACACCAGAGTTTGATCTAAATACCACATAATCAAACATCCAAATAAAATTTGTTTAAGAATAGACAATGTTTGATTCAACTCAAGACATGTTGTGATTTGAATCACAAGTCACTATTCACTCTTTGATTCAATTCAAGTGTTATTTGATTCGAATCAACATTAAAAAAAATAAAAGAATTAAGTTTTAATTCAAAATCAAATCCTAAAATTAGTTTTAATGCAAAATAAAACAAAATTTAAATGCCAAAATATGATTTTAATTCAAACAATAACTTTAATGTTCATAAAGAATCATTTGATGATGATGAAAGTTATGTGATGATCATAATGCCCAAAGATGTGTCATGCACACATAGCACAATCAAATTATCACACATAACAGATAATAAATTACATATGATTAACATATCAAGCATAATAACAATTAAGATAAATCAATCACACTTCAAGAAATATTAAGGAGAATGGAACAATCATATCAATTACGTTGATCTTAAACTTAACTTATTGCACAAGTAAAGTTAGTAAATAACAAAATTATATGGGAAAAGATGAATATGATCAAAAATGTAATTGATATGTTTTCCTTTAATTTTCTTGAAGATATTCTAACAATATACACTTGCCTTGTTTAAGATTCTCAGCCACACCTGAAATAGATATAAATGAAGTGAAATAGGTACCCACTCGGTGTTGGATCCTTTAGGGTTAATACTATTATCTTTAGGAACTTATGTCATTTGACCATTTGGAACCTTTATATTCCTAATATGACATTGGGACCTTATATGGTCTTTCTCACAATAATAATGACAAAAAACTTATTGTACTAAGGTATAAAATGTGAGTGAGAATAACTTACTTTTGAGTTTCTTTGTTTATGTCTTGTCATTAAACAAATATTAACTACTTCTTTGTTTGAATTCATGATTTTACAAGTTTGAACAATCGGTTAATAGTGACCAATTTTACCACACTCAAAGCATATTGCTTTCCTTTCTTCTTTCTTGTTGTCATCCCATTTCTTTTCATATACTTATTATAGTTTAATAAACACATCCATTTCTTCTTCTTTCAAATAATCTTCGTCGAAACTATCTTCGTCGTTGTTAATGTCAGCCTTGGAAGAAAAGGCCTTAAGGAGATGATTTTTTTCTCTTAATTAGCTCATTTTTATTAGCTTCTGATTCTTCAAGCCTTAAAGTTCATGCTCATGTTGTGTAAGCTTTTCAAACAGAGTTGTAATATTCAAAGTCTTCAAGTCATGTGACTAGGTTGACATTCCCTGCACATAGACTTTAACACTTTTTTAGCATAATTCTAGTTAGATAAAGTTTTTCCTAAATTCTCTAACTTGTTTATTATATGAATAAAGAGCATTTGCATCGATTCCAATTCATGGGGTTCCATAACGAAAAATTTGCATTCTCTTATCAACATGCTAATGTTAGATTATTTCACATCTTCAATACTCTCATTGAGCATCTAAAGTATGTTTTGCATTGGTTTATAGCAACCCTAAAGCATTTTATCAACTTATATTAAGTGAACAGACATGGTATATTTTTAAAAATTATAGTTGTCACCTTTAAAATGGAAATTCTATTGAACACACCCTTCAGACCATCTTTATTATATCCTCGTCAAAAGACCAGTTATGAGGCCAATTTTAGGGGGAGAATATGGATGAGAATGGTCTATAAAGGGGGTTGAATAGCCTTTTTCCCCTTTAAAACCAATTTCAAAATCTTTTCTTCAAAATCAATGTTTTACAAAAGCATTATGACAAAACTTTTACAAAGGATGTGTTTGGGTTGATTTTACATTTTACTCAGAATATCATAAAATAAAATGACTATGAGATGAAGATATTAAACAATCAATGTATCAATTAATTCAATTAAAATTATATACAAATATAATCACCAAAAAGACCAATTGGGTGACTTGATCTAACACAAACTTACACTTACATATAAATCGCTATAAGCTAATAATGTTGTACTGTTCAAAAAGTACATGTGTGCATGTCACCCCTGCGAAAGGCATGGATTCTTAGAGGCCTTGGTAGGTATATTACGTTATATGGTTGTAAGAGAAGCCCTATATGATGGTATTTTTGGTGGTTTAAGAGAACCTGCTCAAATGACGTGAGATGCTTTGTATATGTGTTTAATGTTTCAGTATAAGTGTATAAATTAGGATTCTTCTTTCTCCCCCTAGGGAAAGAATACTTATAGAGACTTTTGGGCCTAAGGTTTGGCAAACCCATAGCAGCGTCAACTGCTCCCTCACTATTAAGGGAGATTGTTGACCACATATTCACCAGGGAATCATGGTGGACTCGTTCTCCTTTGATTAACGGTAGACAACAATACACATCATCAATTCCAAGGGAGAGCCCCCCCCATCTGTGAGGATATCGTCCAAGCGACATCATCCTTAGGTGGGAATGCTAGAGTCGCTCTTGTTTGAGACTCTCATTAATATATCATTATACAGTTCTTCAAACACGAGAGCTTTGTTAAGAGGGGAGTGTTTTAAAAGCTTTTGTCACTTGTGAGGTACATTCCTGAGGAGACTCCCTCAACTGAAGATTACCTTTTTTTTTTTTTTAATGACGGTTACCAAATATCTTCCTATTCTTAGGATAAGTAATCTCTAAAAACTTTTCTCTTTTATTTCTTTTAAGTTTTTCTCTCTAAAAATAAAAACATATGCAAAAATAAATTATAGGAGAGCACTTAAATTTAGTTCAGCGTTTGAGGTCACACACCTCGCGCAAGACCAAATTGTTTCATGCATAAGGCTCTGGCAAAACTGTAAAAGAATGATCTCCCATGTCGCTTCCGCATGAAGCTAAAAAAGAGTACATCTTTTGCAACAAAAGAAATTTTAAGGCATACACAATAATATATTATATATTTATTTTTTAATCTAATACACATAATAGAATGAACTATTTACCCATGGTTTTTTTTTAAATTGAAATTATTTAGTAGTGTCAATAATTTTTATAAATGTTACCTAAAATTATTTGAGTTTTTAACTTTTTTAAAAAATCATTAATTTATTAATTTTAATTTCAAATATATATATATATATATATATATATAAACTTTTTTTATAAGAATAAATTTATAATTTAATATATATTGAAAACTATAGTCAAACCATGATGAATTAAAAGCAAAAAAATAACTAATATACACGTCATTATTATAAATAAATTTTACTTTTTGATTGATTTAATAATTAATGTATTTGGGTTATAGATGAACCAGATACACCAATAGTTAAATGGAAAAAAAATATTTATAATAGTGATCAAAAGAGTATATATAATATTTAACTCCTATAAATTTAAGAAATTTAAAAGAATAAATTGACTCTTTTCTTTTATGATACGAATAAATTGACTAACAATTAGAATCATCATCACCCATATTTAATCATGTAAAAAATTTCTTAATGTAAATTTTTTGGGTGATGAAAACTCATGCACATAAACTAAACTAAGTGAACTAAACCTATAATTAGATGATGATAATGATGATTATGATAGCAAAGATGTGACAACTGTCTGGTTAATAATTAATCTTGCTGATAATGGAAACTGTTTTACTTTATGAAAACGCAAAAATATGTGGTCTTCTTTGGTAGCTAAATTTTTAATTTTTCTCTATTCTTGCTTAATTTAATTTTAATTTAATAAAATAAAATAAAAACAGTTAGTTTCGTAAATGGAAATAGATAAATTCCCAGCTTCCACGTAAGAAAAAACACCGTGTGAGTTAAGTTAACTTGTCCTCAAAGCTATATCATAAACATAACAATGCTTATACTTATTTTCTTTCTCTTCTGCAAACAATTTCTTCTCTTCTTCCATCATCTTATGCTCTTATATTTCTCTCCTCAACCAAGAATTTTCGACATTTACTTTCTTTTGTATAATATATTTACGGTATGACAAACTGTTTTTCGCTTTTCCGAAGAAGAACGGGTGAGTTCATTAAATTTCTACGACGATTTTGTTGAATCAATAACTTGTGCAGCAATTTGTTGGTTCAACGGATTCGTTTATATTAGTTTTTTTTTTTTTGCTTTGTTGTTCTTCGTCGTGTTGAATTGAACTCTTGCAGGTAGTGGATCGTCGAAAGGATGCGATGTGGAAGATAACTTGAGCAGCAAGTCAAGCGTGAATAGAGAATACCTCAGTGCTTTCAGAACAAAATCTTATGTTGAAATATGTAACAAAGCTCAAGGACATGGAATTGAAAGCACGAGCACAAACGCGAGCACGAGATCGCCACTCTCTACTTCTTGTTCCACTTCTTCTACTTTGCTAGAACCTCGAGAAGAAATTGTTAGAAATGTGATTAAGAGTTTTAAGGTTCATCATCTTCTAGTGGAATATTTTGAAGCTAGCTTAGAAGCGTGTCTTTGTTGCGACAAAATCCTTCAAGGTATCCGTGAAACTCGATTTGCTTATGGAATGTGCGCTAATGCGTTTGTGGAGAAAGGCGACGATGAGAATGTTATCTATAAAGAGCTTGTTTCATTTGTTATTAACAACTCTTTGTGTTTGTCTAATAATGTTATTAACTTTCGCGACATTCATGAAAAACAAGTGTTGCTTCTTGATAGACTAAACGCGAAGAGATTGAAACTAAGAAGAAGAACAACAATAAAGAGGTTATGCAAGAAAGTCGGAGGAATCGGTTTAATCGTTTCGCAAGCCGCTCTTTTGATGGCTTTGTTATTAGTTGCTTTCCATAGCATAATTGGGTTGGCAGCTGCACCTTATGTAATGGGTGGATTCTTTGGTTTGATGAAGAAGAGATTCAAAGGGGTTCATGGAAAGTATGGTTCTTGTGAAAAACTATATGAACAAATAGATGTAGCTGCAAAAGGGGTTTATATAATGATAAATGATTTGGGTACTATGAGTAGAATGGTTAAGAGGTTAGAGGATGAAGTGGAACATTGGAGAGAGGTTGCTGATATTTGTGTGAAGAATTATGGTAATGGTAATGGAAGATGTGAAATATTGAAGATGGTTGTGAGGGAATTTTATGATTGTCAAACTAACTTTATGGATCAGTTGGAGGAGCTTGAAGAGCATATCTACTTGTGCTTTCTCACTGTTAATAGATCAAGAAGATTGCTTATGGAGAAGATTACTGACAAGAAATGTTCAAAAGATTAATGAAGATACTCTTTTATTTCATCTTTGAGGATAAGTTTTTAGTAGAACATTACTAGCACATTCTTTATATTTTATTATAGTATATGTAATTCTTTGATTTTAACTGTGACACTGTTGAATTCTTTTATTTACAATATTGGAAATAAATAGTAATAAGATACATTAAACATGCTTCATTCTATCATAATGCAATGGTAAATTTTTTTTTTAATCAAAGGAAGAATATATTAATTCAAAAATAGTTAATACAAAATTAGGTGATTCAGGAGGATCCAACCCCCAAAATGACTCAAACAAGATGTGTCTTAATTTTAAGATTTTGTCACCCTCTGTAGATCACATTATGGTTTCAGCCACTAACATTTTCAAAACATCCACTTTCCAACCTTTTCCTTTTGTCATGTTACTAATAATCCAGATCAACTTTGTCTCCCATGGTTGAGGTTCATGCTATATGTTAAACCATTAGAGCACTTTCTTCCATATGTGTCTTGCCCCTAGACAGCAGAAAAACAGATGATTCATTGTCTCCTCTTCGGTTTGGCATAAATTGCATTTGCCGTCTTTAATCGTACCAAAACGTTTTAATCTATCCTTGGTTGCAAGTTTTCCATGACATGTTTGCCATAAACAAAACACTGCTCGTGGTCGGCTCTTATTAGATCTTATTAAGTTTCTCCAAAAAACCCTTGTGCCATATCAATCAGTACCTTGTAAAACACCGACACCTTAAACTTATGAGTGGTTAGAAGTTGATCCCATTCATTCCGTATTAAATCCATGATATCTCTTTGTTTCAAAATACTGCATATGATCCAAGAGTTGTGATTTTTGGTAGCATAATTCATCACAAGTTTCCCCTTTACGTAATGAATATGGACCCAATGCAATGGTAAATTTTAACTCTTGAAAATTTTTGTATACTTCATTATATTGGAAATACTCTTTGATTAGAAGTTGACATTCTCAAGTTAAAGTCTCATAGGAAACAAGAAACTACCAACAACAAACCAACAAATGATAGAATCCTAAAGAATGGTTTCGGAGATATTCTCCGATGTCACTAGATTCTTGGTTGCTCATGAGTTTAAGATTTTCATAATATGATCTGGCTACTTGACAGGCACCAATTCCATGGGGCTCACAACCGCACCAAAAATTTCTCAAATTCATTCAGTTTGTAGGATTTGGGACCCCATTAGGCACTAGTAAACAATGCGGTCGTACGGGGAAATCATCCCAGTTCAATGTAGCGCCGAGCTTCTTACAGTGTCTCTTTTAAGATGTCACAAGGCACATCGAGCTTTGTATCACAACTAACTTCCCTCATTTTCTTGTACTCCTGAAGGCTAACAAGAGAAGCCTTGACCTTGAGCCAATCAGCTGGTCTTGGCATCATAATAGCAATGTATCCTTCTCTGTTAGCCTGAATGTTTATTAATAAAAATTGTAAGAAAATTAAATAAGATGGAATAAACATATGGTATTATGATAAAAAACAAGTTACGACAAAATAGTATATGTTCAAACTATCTCAAGAAAACATTCAAGTATTTAGCATTGCAGAGGTAAATTTACTTATAAACCAACCATATACCAGGTCATGAACACCAGTTAAGCTGTTAAGTATATGTCTTGTGATTTGTGGTAATCAAATATTTCTAATGCATGCGATATTTCGATTAATACATTAATATTTCGCTCATACACCAAAATTGTTGTTAACAATAAAATACTAGAAAAGGCCCACATATTGTGACTATGTCGTGTTGCAGTGGGAAAAGTTGAAGTCAGACTTAGTAGTTAGTCATAGTGTTGTCCATGGTGGATGGCGGTCCACGATGAAGAGCCAAAATCACCGCCATAATGTCCGCTTTACGGCACTGTTAGAGCGGAAAAGCCCGCATTAACAGCCAATATTTACCATTGCAGCGAGCCCAAAAACCACTATTTATGTCTGCCATAGCGCCGCCATGACGGATATTTGATTAGTCTCATGAAGTTGTTACAAGGCTATTTGTATAAATAGGAGAATTACAATGATACAGATCATTATTGAACATTTGTAAAGTTTAGTGAATAGAGCAGTGACTCTATTGCAAAAGGAAAACCCTTGGAGGAGAGATGTTGAATTATTCTTCGTTTTATACAATTCTGCCTAGTTTTGCCCGAGAATCTTGTTCTTGAGCTTGAGCAAGAAAGTTAGGTGATGGGACTAGTCCAACGGGTTGGGTAAAAAATAAAGATCAAATCAAAATGATATTGAGGCTGTTGTAATCAAAGTTGGAGATGAACCAGTTTCTGAGATTGAGGCTTTTGTAATCGAAATTGGAGTTGCACCAGCAAAGGCTTAATGTTTCGGAAAATGGCAGAAATAAATTTTGGCTCATCATGCTCCCACCAACAGTGGGGTCGAGGAGGAGAATTTAATGTTTTATTTTCTGCACCCAATGGAACAAGAAGACTATAGGAGATTTCAACCTTCAGGAGAGGTGTATTGTTAAGATATAGAATAGTGACTAACTAGAGTAGTTAAGAGTTGTTTGTAGTTAGTTGGTTAGTTGAGGTTGTTACAAGGCTATTTGTAAAATAGGATAATACAATGATAGAGATCATTATTGAATGTAAAGTTCGGTGAATATAGTAGTGACTCTATTGTGAAGGGAAAACCCTTGGAGGAGAGATTCTCTCCTGATCTCTTTTATCCTTTCCCAATCTTTCAATTGAACTATTCCTCGTTTTATTCATTCTGCCCAGTTTTGGGAATTTATTCTTATACCAAAAGAAAAGGTTCCTAACAATATTGAATACAAAAAATATTTTGCTAATGTTTGCATATACAGCAAATTCGGATGTTTGAGAGACTCCTTTCCCTCTTAGATGTCTGACTAGATTGAAGATGTCATTAACCTTGTGCACATCCATGGAGGGTAGAGGAATACTATCATTAAAAAATGAATCTATTGCCTTCAGTGCATTCTTTCACCATCCTATGAACCATGAAAATGATTTGTTTTTTTAATCTACCACCCCTCTCTCCTCTATGAACTATATTTGCATTCCTGATTTCACTAACACGAGATTGATCAGAATGGGCAAGACACTTGGCACATATATTTAGTTTTATTGATAAACAGACCCACTAATAAGTAATGCAGAAACTGATGCTTATGAACCCAAAAAAGCCATGGTTAAGTAATAGCTGCATGTCCTTTGGACGGTTAATTTAGAAAAGATAACAATAATACTAGCATAGATTTTACTGTGGAGGCTTTGTAAAATTTAAGATAGACATACAAAACTATGACTTCTGCTTGAGAGAGCTATCTTTGAAGAGCAAAGAAAAAAAAAGAATCAGAGTGGATAAGAACCATTCTTACCGAAACATTAAGCAATTCTGGATGGGTGACTAATTGTTGATTGACTTCCAAAAGGGATCCTTTGACACAACACCTATGAATGATCACCACAAGTTAAGTTACCGAAGAGTTCAGTGGTCAGTGGTAACCCAACAAAAATAAAAACTGGTGTAGCATACAAATATACAAACACACATAAATAAATCTTAGCTCAAATTGATGTACAACAAAGCACATACCTCACAATATAAGAATCCTTCTTGGTAGAAACTTTGCATAATGCTGTATTGGCCTCAAAGTGTTGCGCATTCTGCAATAAAAAAATCCCTATTTTAATAAATGCATAGCAGGAGAAATATTGATTTCAGGGCCTAAAATATTTTGAAATGCACAACAATTCACCAAACAAATACCATTTCAAATTCAACACATGCCTCAATGATATATCACCAGGTCATAAACAAAAAGATATTTCGAGCCATAAATATAGATATGCGGTGCATTTTCATGAAAACAGCCTATAGTTCTATACAGTAAGATAAATTTTGTAATTCAATCTGGTTTTCCTTTTGTTGTATGCTTATATACATGCAATAGCTGTAGCACCGACATCTTTGGAAAAAAGATGTGTCTCTGCTCATGTCTGTGTCAGTGTCCGACACGGGTGTCGACATGTCAGGTGTCCGTGTTTGTGTATGTGTTTCATATCATGCAACTCCAGATATGCATTCATGATTCAATATAAAAAGATATATTTTCATTTAAAATGACAAATTTCGTAAATAATTTACAGAGAAAATTGAGAAAATGTACCTTCTTCCGCTTCCCGGTAACCTTGACCCCGCTGCGATCAGACTTTCCAACATTGAAATCTATGGCTGTGATTCCACCTTCATCCTTAAAAGCAATATGGGAAGGAGCCAAGCCAATTACACACAACCTTCAAGATCACAAAAACAATCACGCAAAATACAAATAAATAAACAAAACCGAAACACATTTCAATTTGAAGTTTGAACAATGCATTTAAAATATATTATAGTATAGTATAGCATACCCATTGGCGTGGCGATAAATGTATTGATCATGAGCTGGTTTAGTAAAATCTGGAAAAATCAAAATAAATTAGGGTTTAGGGTTTATGATAAAAAATGTAACAACGGTTTCAATAATGAGTTGATAGAGTTACCTAGAGCGAAGTAAGTGACGAAATTGGTTTCAACGGCGGAAAGAGGAATGAGGGGAAGATTCTGAACATCGGGGAGGAGAAGCTTCGATAAATCTTCTTCTTCGTCGTCGTCGTTTTTCTCTTCCTTTCGTTCTGTTTCTGTATGGTTTGATTCGTCGATGATTTGGTCATTTTCTATGGTAGACATTTTGGTGTTTTTTTTTAAATTTGATTTTAAATGAGAAAGAAACTGAAAGGTTTACTCCTTTCAAGTACAGTATTTAACAAAAACGTTGTATTTCGCTTGAATGGAACTTGCGTAGTATGCTGCTAGTAAAACGTAACTTGTTCAACTAGGAAATGATATGGGCTTCTCCATAAACAGCCCACTAAAACGAATATTGTGTGGGCAGACTTTTCCTCCTCATTTCATTACATTTGAAATCAATAACAAAACATAACTCTCACTCATCTGAACCCAACATTTTTTCAACATTGCTCGCAATATATACTGCTATTTATTCAAACTAAGCATTTCATCACCTTATGCTCCTTTCAATTTAAGGTAAATGCATTCATCTCTTATATTTGATAAGTTTCTCATATCCTTAGTTTCTTATATTAACCACCTGAATGCAAATGTGAATGTTGCGGGTAATGATGCAGAAGTTGCCTAAAATAGAGTATGTGCATTGAAGACATACTTTATAGTTTTTGTTGGCACAAACATATTCATAGACAAAAGTGTGATCTATGTTGATGTTGACTACATTAAATACTTCATGGATTTAGAGAGGATTCACTAGTACAATTTAGAAGAATCCTGTTTGGTTTATCTCTACTCTAAATTAGTCGAATGTAGTTTATGAAAGATGAGACAGATGACACGAAGCATTTGTCTATTTTAGGTCATTTATTTACACCCTTACAGATATCAATTCAATAATACTTGTGTTATTCTCTTACTAATATTTCATCTTAACCATTTTTCAGGCATGGATCCTCTAGCATTTTCACATATTACCAGTTGGGACTATGTTGTAAAATACACTTAGGATTTTCCACGTGCATGTTTGATTATCCCACTCAGGGGTGACCAAAGACCAAATCGTATCGAATTGCTAATGAACGCATCTTGTTGGATGATATTTATTTCACACTATACAGTGAGCACTATCGGGCATGACCCTTGGAAGTGGTACCTATCGCTTCTCAAAAAATATGATCCTTCGTGAAGTATTTGCACGCTCACGGGAAATGATTCTAGGTTGTCTACGCATGAAAGGTTGTTATTTATCTAAAGGTTTATCTGCTAAAGAGAAAATGATTCTAGGTTGTCACACTATAAGTCTCATTATAAGAAAACTCAAGAGTAAGTTATGAATGATGTGCAAAAGTGCCCTAAGACAAAACAATACAAGAATAGAGAAATTTAATCCATAGCTCTTTTACTAGGGTTTTTGTACAAGGTCAAAATCTCTATGATGCTAAGGATAGTAACCACAATCCAAGCTTGAAAGTTTTTTAGAGTTTTGATCTTTTATCATGTTTTTGTGTTTTTTTGAATGAGATGAATAAATATGAATAATATGAATAATATGACAATATGATATATGAACAATATGATAAAGGCAATATATGAATAATGATATAAGTTGCAAGAAAAGTAAATGACGGAAAGAATAAAGAGCAAAATTAACGTTAGATGTTAGTTGTTAATTGTCATTGATCGGATGGTCACTTTTTCACCAATTTAGTGTTATGTTAAGCAATCGTAGCATAATCTATAAGGAAGATCGTACTATGGGAGGCCGGTCAAGAACAATGTTTGTGTTAAAACATGATAGAGAAATGATATGTAGATCATTCTCCTAAAGTTGTGTCACTCGAAAAGAAAAAGAGAACGGTCTCGTCTTAATCAAGATCTTCCATCGATTAACCAAAGGTACCCTATCACTATCCCAAAGTTTGAAGAATGATTCAAATAATCCTTCTCTGCAAATTTGTAATAATGAAGGTTAAACAACTTCAATAACCAACAATTCATGATATTTAAGACTTCATTGACCAAAATAAGAAAATCAAAATGAAAACCAAATAAAAATAAAATAAAGATACAAACAACTAAATAAACATGATAAAATTAAGGTATGGGTTCATGAGATTAAACAAAGTTTATTAGAAGAAAAATAATTAAAGTATAAAACTACTAAAAGAAAAAACAAAATAATAAAGAAAAAGAAAGAAAAAAAGTTGAAAAGAAGAAATGAGGGGGCGCATAAGTCATAGTGGGTGTGTGGATGAGAAATGTTCATGGGCTTTACCAAAAGCCATCATGGCATGGTTAAAAAAACGTTAACAACCTGACTATAGAACCCATGGCAAAGCAATGTTATGTCCTATTTCAAAACCAACATAAAATTTCCAAAAAAACAAAACAAAATAAATTAGTAAATAAAGTCATGAAATGAAAAATAAACAATAGCGCAAATCCAACGAGAAAAGAAGAACATGGCAACCTCAAGCTTATTTTCGTCTCTCACTTTGTTCGAATCTCTCTATATCTTCTCAAATCGTTCTTCTTTTCTGTTTCATTATCCAGGTTTGTGTTTGATTTGCTCAATTCCTCTACTCCATTTCCTTCTCTCTGTTCCAGGTTTGGAATTGATTTTTGGTTGATTTGGAATTGAAGGGTGGCTTGAAGGTTGGGTTGAAGGAAGATGAAGGTTTGAAGAAGATGAAAGTTGGGTGGTTGATTTGAGCAAAAGGTTAAAGAAGGATTTAGGGAAAGAAAAGCAGAGTAATGATGGCTTTCTAAGGTTAGGTTAGAGTGTGAGAATGAGGTTGATTTATAGAGGATAGATGAGAGAATGAATTATCATTTTGATTAATTTTGCTCGTGTTTTGCAGATTGTGTATGGTGATGTGTGGGGTCATAGCATGAGGTATGGAAGTTGCTTGGTTGTTTGGTGCGAATTTGCTGCGTGAAGTGTGTGTTATTTTCGTTTCTAGGTCGCGTGACGTGACGTGATTTTGTGATTTTTCATGTTGTTGGTTTATGGGGTCATAACATGAATGGTTACCATCAAAAGGATGATAGTAAGATTATTGACAATAGGTCAAGTTTGCCGAAGAAGTATTAGTACATCAATGAGTACGACTTGTTTGGGGATATCAACAAAAGTTTGAAACACAGATCTCACTGAGGAACACCATCCTTATCAACAAAATGTTGAAAGGAACCAACTCACTAAGGAATGCCCAATAAGGAAGGTAGGAACCCATTTGGAGAAAAACCACTTGGTAGTTTAAGGATAACGGTTTCATCAACAAAAGATTGAGGAAAAGAATTCAATAGGGAACACCCACTGAATAATGCATGGCTGACTGAGCTGAAGGTAACAACTTCATCAATAAAAGGTTGAAGAGAATAACTCCATGGGGAACGCCCACTGACTTGGAGAAATGCCACTTCATTGACAAAAGATTGAAGAAAATAGATCCATGGGAAACGCCCACTGACTCGGAGAAGTGCCACTGGCCGGACTGAGGATCGGTCTGGAATCTCGTGATTAATCCTGGATCCTGACTTATGCATGTATGCATGTTATAATTTTGAAAAGGGTATTTCATTCTGGATGGAAATACAATTTAAATGCTGACGCGCTGAGATGTATGTGTTGAGGATATAGTTTTGTTCATGTATGCATATGATGCGTATGATATATGTGATGTATATGATATATGTGGTGTACATGATTCACTTTTTAATAAAGACAAATGATTGGATATGCTTTGTGAAGGTGCTAACATGGTGGACTTTTATTTTGGTATGTGCCAATACAGATTGAACTTTGGTTGGTGAGAAGGTTTTGATTCCCTAACACCAGTCTTTTGACAATGCCATGATTAAAGCAGATGAAGATGCTTTCTGTGTCTCAAGTTTGATCACTTATTGATAAGCCATGGATTTGTTTCTGAGAGGATCACAACTTTTATGCCTGAGGGTCAGGATGATCTGAAAATGAGCATAGCGACATGATCAATGCATGAAGACTGTGTTTTTGCTTTGAACTCAAAGGTTGCTAGTGTCTAGCAAGATACGCTTGTCCAACTTGAAAGTACATAGAGAACATGCCTTCTTGAAACTTGTTTTCCCCAGTCTGTAAGGTTCTTAAAAAAATTCTCCTTGAGCAGAAGTTCTTCAGGAGTTAACATGGCATGATTTGCCTCAGTCTGAATATGATAATAACCTTCCCCTGATTAACCAATTTTGAAATGGTCTAATCTTTGGAAGTTGAGCTTTGATGTGCTTCTGATTGAGCGCTTGAAGTATTTGCCCTAGATTCACAGGGTTTTGAGGTAGTCCTTATTTGGGTTCAGCACCAACGAAAGTTCAAGTTCCTCTTTGATTACCCCTTGTGGGAATTTCCTTGATGTCAGACAATGATTTGCAGTTAACATTGTTCATTTACAAATGGTAATCTTAATGCGATACTCATGAAAGTTTTGAAAAATTCATTTATTGGAATGATGTGATAGTGTGAGATGAGTGGACCATTAGTCCAAATGTAGTGATGATTTAGCTAGTGTGTGCAAGATACAACAAGAATATGACACAAAGGCCAAAGATTACCAAAAATGTAGGAGTCAGTTTACGAAACCTTGCAGTAATATGCTTTCATAATAAATCCTGCCTCAAATAGGTCTTTTGAGGGTTGTAACATGGTCTAGTTCATGGTTTTTGAAACAAAGGATATTAGGCTCAAAACTTGGTTTGTACCCATCCCTTCTTCGTGATGAACTCCATTCCTACGTTCATTTAATTCTACACACATTTGTCTTCCAAAAGGGTTGATGATGTAAGGATGAAGATGATGATTCAAGGTTCGCTCGAAATGGCAGTCATCATATATTTTTTTTTTTGATATGGATGTCAGTGACCCTTCGATTCTTGATGTGGTGGTCATTGAATCATGTTTTGTTTTGTTTGAGGATTTGAAGACCCCCTTTGATCAAACTTTTTTGGTTTTGATCCCTAACTTTTTTCCTAAGTCTCCTCTTTGGGTGCTCGACTTTGTCAGGGTTTTTTTTTTTTTTATTTTGCTGAAGGATTGTGGCTGCCAAGTCATTGATTATTGAGGAACAACTGACATGTCTTTGGACTTTGCCTTGTGATTTGAGTGCATAATCAGATTGAATGAACAC